TCTCTCTCTCTTTTTTTTTTCTTTGTTTCTTTATTTTTTCCCTCTCTTCATTCCTTCCTTTTTTCTGTCATTCCTCTCTTTAAAAGTCCTTCCAAGTTTCATTATATGTGAGTTTATCGTATATGTATAGATTCCTTTCGGTCTTTTTATTATTGCAGGGAAGATAAAAATCTGAAGTGGAACCCGGATGATTACGGAGGACTAGATGTCATGTACTTCAACAAAGATCAAATCTGGACTCTTGGCATGGACGTCAACAGCGAGAAACCGCTTTTTGATTTCCCTTCTCAAAATCTGGTATTTCCCAGTGGCGAGGTCCGATTCGCCATTTCTGCTACGCTGGTAGCGATCTGCAATCTGGACATGACCTACTTCCCATTTGACACTCAGACGTGTAGATTCAATTTCGCCGCTGCCCGGTCTTCTCTCAAAGATATCCTTCTGATCCCAGAAGTGGGTTCTGTGATAGACGGATACATCGAACACGGTGAATGGGCACTGGTCGATATACGTTCGGGGGTGGAATACGTAGGACTAACTCCAACTCTCAAGTTTCCGCTTGCTTATTTCCGATTAACTTTACGTCGACGTCCAGATTATTACGTTCTCACTATTATCATCCCTGTGAGTATCGTGTCTTTCTTCGCACAACTAACATTCTTAGTTCCCGTAGAGAGTGGGGAAAGGCTTTCCTACGCCCTCACAGTTCTCCTCTCTCTGTCCGTGCACTCCAGCTTAGTAGGGAGTCTAATGCCCAGGTCAGCGTCCCACACGCCCATTATGATGGAATACATCCTCATCATGTTCGCCATTAGCGCTCTGTGCATCGTCATGACAGTCGTGGTCAACATCGTTCACTGGAGCAGAGTTGTCGTCCTTAACGATGGCCGGAAAGCGGTGAGGATTGTGGGAATTTCTATCCCCATAAATTTGGAAAAACAAAAGAATAATAGTAAGAAGAGGAAATGTAAGGCTGGCGTTTTCAAAAGTGGAGAGGTAGCACCCTACAGCGCGTGGCCGGGAACTAGTCAAGTGCACGGTCACCCTCTGCCCAGTGGATACAACAAAGGTACTGGAGAACCTGCGCCAAATCATCCAGGCACTTTTTTTGCCCTATCCAAGTTCAACCGAAGTAACAAAGAGATCCAAACAGAAGGACCTGGGGCCGGAGATAGCAGAATTGATTCTTACAATGGAACAGGGGGAAAAAACAACCCGGACCCTCAGATGGTTGACGAATTCAAATTCAAAGAAGAAATAACCGATCCTTTTGACGTTAAATGCCCGTACCTCCGAATGTTGGCGGAAAAGATCAACTTGATCAGCTTTGCGATTCTATTTTTGTCTTTTATCGCAATCAACGTTATCACCATAATTAGAGTGAAATTGGGGACAAGAGCTGATTGAATTGGGATGGGCAATGTTTTACCGATAAGCACTTTCATTTCGGGGCGGCCTTTTAGTTCCACACATCACTACATGTATAAAGCCCACATTAAGAATTGATTTGTTTTTGATGTTGGAGTTTTGCGAGCCCATTGACACAATTTCGATCATTTAAAAGGCTGGTTTCGACCCTGCCTGCCACGGCCAATCCAGGCTGAGAGGCACACAGTCCCAGAAGAAAGATGGCAATACGGTATTTGACAAAACTTCTACCCACACAGGAATGGAACCCAAGTCTCCCGCATGCGACATCGAAGCGCCTAACCACTACACCACTGACGTTGGCAAAGGCCGCATTGAACCCAGAACATAATGTTATACTTATACATAGTAGCCTATAATAAGAATAATCACATAACATTATACTTATACATAGTAGCCTATAATAACAATAATCACATATTATTATACTTATACATAGTAGCCTATAATAAGAATAATCACATATTATTATACTTATACATAGTAGCCTATAATAAGAATAATCACATATTATTATACTTATACATAGTAACCTATAATAAGAATAATCACATAATATTATACTTATACATAGTAGCCTATAATAAGAATAATCACATAATGTTATACTTATACATAGTAGCCTATAATAAGAATAATCACATAATATTATACTTATACATAGTAGCCAAAAATAAGAATAATCACATAATGTTATACTTATACATAGTAGCCTATAATAAGAATAATCACATAATGTTATACTTATACATAGTAGCCTATAATAAGAATAATCACATAATGTTATACTTATACATAGTAGCCTATAATAAGAATAATCACATAATATTATACTTATACATAGTAGCCTATAATAAGAATAATCACATAATGTTATACTTATACATAGTAGCCTATAATAAGAATAATCACATAATGTTATACTTATACATAGTAGCCTATAATAAGAATAATCACATAACATTATACTTATACATAGTAGCCTATAATAACAATAATCACATAATATTATACTTATACATGTTAGCCTAGATAACAATAATCACATAATATTATACTTATACATGTTAGCCTAGATAACAATAATCACATAATATTATACTTATACATGTTAGCCTAGATAACAATAATCACATAATATTATACTTATACATGTTAGCCTAGATAACAATAATCACATAATATTATACTTATACATGTTAGCCTAGATAACAATAATCACATAACATTATACTTATACATAGTAGCCTATAATAACAATAATCACATAATATTATACTTATACATGTTAGCCTAGATAACAATAATCACATAATATTATACTTATACATGTTAGCCTAGATAACAATAATCACATAATATTATACTTATACATGTTAGCCTAGATAACAATAATCACATAATATTATACTTATACATGTTAGCCTATAAGAATAATCCCAGGCGGCACGACACAGTCGAATCAGGCGCTTGTCAATTGTGGGGCATTGTAATACTATCATCATATTAAAGCTTCTTTGCATACGCATTGTTTGCATTAGATGAAAAGGATACCCATCTATGTTGAATAAGACTCCGAGATATTTGTACGATCGAAGAAGATGGACGTTGCCTGGTGCCAGATGTAAAATTAGGGGAAAATGGCTGCCAACGTTTGGTGACTTCTAAAACTTGGGCTTGAGCGTCCTTAGAGTTGGAGACTGCAAATTTACTCTGTGTATCATGTATGCGTATGTGTGTATGGGGGGGGGGGGGGGTAGAGACACCAGAATGAATACGATGTACTGGGGTTTGTATTGTGTACGCTTGCTAGATTGTTTGGCTGTTTGTGCATTGTACGGGAACACAGATGACTAATTCAACAAACTGGAATCATTAGAATACATGTACGGTAACGCGAATCGATAGACAGTGAATTAGTGCGCTTGGAGAAAATGTAATTCTAGAACTGTTTTGAACTGTTCGCTCAAATTGTACAATAAAGCAAAGCAGCAAACCTTTCCTTTTGCTTGTGTGAAACTTTGTGTGCTTGGCTTGGATGCCACGCAGTGCTGCTGCTCTGTACATGTCATTCTGACCATTCTATGAAAGGAATCGAGTGCTCAATTCAAGAGATCCACCATATCAAAGATGTGTCACGTGTGCAGGAAAAAAGGCTTTATCTGTCACGTGATGTCAAATTACCCCTGGACCGTTTGCTTGTCCAGCAAAGATAGATTTAAAAAAAACTGGAATGCTTTTTTTCTGAAGGAAAAACAACGAGAACTTACTTCCTGGAGTCTCTCTCTCTCTCTCTCTCTCTCTCTCTCTCTCTCTCTCTCTCTCTCTCTGTGTGTGTGTGTGTCTCTCTCTGTCTGTCTCTGTCTCTGTCTCTCTCTCTCTCTGTCTTTCTCTGTCTCTGTCTCTGTTTCTCTCTGTCTCTGTCTCTCTCTGTCTCTCTCTCTCTCGCTCTGTCTCTCTCTCTCTCTCGCTCTGTCTCTCTCTGTGTCTCTGTGTCTCTCTGTCTGTCTGTCTGTCTGTCTGTCTCTCTCTCTATGTCTCTCTCTCTCTCTCTCTCTGTGTCTCTCTCTCTCGCTCTGTCTCTCTCTCTCCCGCTCTGTCTCTCTCTCTGTCTCTCTGTCTGTCTGTCTGTCTGTCTCTCTCTCTCTCTGTCTCTCTCTCTCTCTGTGTCTCTCTGTCTGTCTGCCTGTCTCTCTCTCTCTCTCTCTGTCTCTCTCTCTCTCTGTCTCTCTCTCTGTCTTTTTCTCTCTCTCTCTGTTTCTCTCTCGCTCTCTCGCTCTCTCTCTCTCTCTCTCTCTCTCTCTCTCTCTCTCTCTCGTAAAACAGTAATGTCGTGGCTAGATGTAACGAGATTCTTGTAATCAGCAGCCGTGCCCAGAAATTCAGGCACTTTCGTGGTCAGGTCAAGCCAGGCACGCCCAGAGGAAACGATACATGTACCCAATAGTTTGGACCTGAAGTGGCCAACAGCAAGACAACAATAGCAAGACAAAGGATGGAAAACCGAGAAAAGCAAAATCTCAGCTTAAAGAAGGAAAGAGAGAAAAAAATGGGAGGAGAGATGAAAACTGTGAAGGAAAAATGAAAGAGGGTAAAACCAAAGAAGGTGAAAAGAGGAAAAATGAAAGAGGGTAAAACCAAAGAAGGTGAAAAGAGGAAAAATGAGAAAAAGACAAAGGTCGGAGAAAGTAAAGGCAAGAATGAAAACACAGCGAAACAGCAAAAGTACGTACAGGAAGGAGTGAAACAGCAAAAGTACGTACAGGAAGGAGTGAAACAGCAAAAGTACGTACAGGAAGGAGTGAAACAGCAAAAGTACGTACAGGAAGGAGTGAAACAGCAAAAGTACGTAAAGATGGAGTGAAACAGCAAAAGTACGTAAAGATGGAGTGAAACAGCAAAAGTACGTAAAGATGGAGTGAAACAGCAAAAGTACGTAAAGATGGAGTGAAACAGCAAAAGTACGTAAAGATGGAGTGAAACAGCAAAAGTACGTAAAGATGGAGTGAAACAGCAAAAGTACGTAAAGATGGAGTGAAACAGCAAAAGTACGTAACAGAAAAGCTACAAAAACTGATCAAAGCTGGCTTTCGTGACAAAAGGATTGGGGGTTCTCGTGGTCTAGAGGTTAAGGTGTTGGCCTCTCATTCAAAGGTCCTGGGCAGCGCCCGAAAAATTTTCTTCTCTGAAATTGTCTCCTTTCACCTCCTTTCCTGCTCTCAAGCAATGTTCTGTTGTCTCCTTTCGTCTCCTCTCTCTGCCCCCACTCCCTCATCTCCTTTGCCCCCTCCTCTGGGCCCCTGACTCTTTCTGCAGTCTTTCTATTTCTACTGCTACTCCTTGGCTGCTTCATACAGCTGTCTTTTTGCCACACTCCTGATCTTCTGGTAGGAAAGATCTACACCTAGCCTTCTCGGAGAAGGGCGAAAAATCTCTGAGGGCCCGTGTGCAAGTTGTGCACGTTAAAGATCCCTTGGTGGTCTAAAATTGATAAGAGTAGGCTTCGGCTGCCACCCGGGCAAAATTCCAAATTTCCTACCAACTGAAAATGTTAAGTGTGTCCCGCGCGCTCATATGACCTGGTGCAGTTGCGAGCGCCGTAAAACACTTACCAAATAAACAAAAAACACAAACAAAAGGATTTTCAATGATGACTCAGATGAGAATGAAGGTGTTGAGAAAGCTTTTCAAGCTCAGAATACAAATGATATGAACGAACACATTTGCTTGTTTATAATAAATTTGTTTGTTTGTTTGTTTTGGAAAGAGTTTTACAATGGCGCTCACAACTGATTCTCTGACTTCAACTTACTGAAAATGTAGTCTAGTAGCCCCCCCCCCCTTTCCTCCCCTTAAAATGTAGTCTAGTAGCCCACAGTGGGCAATGTTCCAGTTGAGATAATAATAGAGATCACAATCATGTTGACTTACTTCTCAACTCCTTCCCTGGAAGTGCCACGCTTGTTGTCCCTGACAACACACAACGTTCAACCACTGGTAGGCCTACACTACAAGTAACACGGACAATATTTGGCAGCAATAATGCTGGACTCTAGCAGGCATTGTTGATGCTCAAATGTATACAACTTGAAAGATCTGTATGGTTTTACCTTATGTGATCAATAGGGTAGATTCCAAATGCTAAGATCAGAGCAGTAATCATGGACAGACATGGAGATATCATTAGTGAATCACTCATTGAAACCTCCTCGACCTACAGGAAGAATTTGGAAATTGTACCAAGGACGTTTTTTATTTGACAATTGAACCTTTTTTTTTCCATTTAACATTGTCATTATTAGAAAGAGATTAACAGCCTTGGCCCGGTGGGGTGGGGGAGTGGGGGGTGAATTTAATTAATTTGAGTACCTTTTGGGTATTAAGTAAGTTTGGTACACTATTCACAACAGCGCGGAGAATTAACAGAGAAATCATCCCCTAGAATTAAAGTGCAACAAAAATAAACCCCAAAAAACCCCACAGGGCTTCTAAAAGCACAGACATTTATTCACATATTTCTTGCTAACAGTTAAACAGTACACATGTATAAACCAGGTCATTTTTTATTTGTAAAAGCCAGATTTTATACAAATATATATATAAATGTTCCATTATATTTGCATTATTTGCGTATGATGGAGGTAAAGGCACACTCCATGTAAGCTCAATTTTTGAAAATATAAATACACATAAATACATAAATGAGATAACAACAACTCTCATTAAAAATTCAATTAAAAAAACAATAGCCTAGGTAAAACAACTTTGGTCCTCAATAAAAATCCATTTTGCAAATTCATTACATGGGGAAGAATGAATCTTAGCAAGCCAAAAGACACTCTCCCTCGGGAATGGGGGGGGGGGGGGGGGAGGAGGATTCTACAGAGTATCTCTGTCTCTCAGCAGAATTGTCGCCTGCACAGTCCAGGTTATCCCTGGTAGGCAGGATCAATCCAGCATATATCATCTACATTCGTAATAAGGGGATTATAAAATATTTGCGATAAAAAAAGACCCAAGAAAACAGGAACATTGGAGTGTAAGAGACCCCACACTATGAGCAACTCGCTAAAGCTACAACATACATTAAAACATTATTGTGCAATCTTAAAAAAGTCAGTACATTCCTTCATATTATGCCATATATGACACACTTATATATATATATATATAATATTATATATATGTTCTTGATTGGCATAGCGCAAATGACATATGGAATCCCAGAACCAGAAAGGTGATGGTAGGGTCCATCATGTTGCACACAAATGACCACAGTCCAGTTCCCACGTTGGGAAATATGTTTCATCTTTGGACTTTGGAGTAGTGTCCCACTCTGTGTGGATTGACCCTGACAAATAGGATAGAATCCGGCTGCCTCATAAATTATGAAAACTGTAGCGATCAGGGCATGAAATGTATACGACACTTTAAAGAAATAAAAGATTGTAGCGCAACATGCCCAAAAATTGTGTCCTTGGGAAAGGCACTTTACACAAATTTTCCCCGCTTCACCCAGGTGAGAATGGGTACCTAGCCATAGAAAGCGAAAGATCTTGTCAGTATGTTAGTGTTTTAGCGTCTATAAATGGCAGCTTGCATTGTATGCTTCCAAGAAAGTTGTGATTGTTTCAGAATGCTATCAGCTTAGCTGGAGTAATAGTATTGATTGTAAATCGCATTGAGAGATTGCTGTTGAGTGGGAATTAGCTATAATATAATATACAAATGCTATCTATTATCTATTATAATCAAAAGAGGTGGTTTGAACATTACAGGAATCAAACACCCAAACCACAAGGTAATGCAAGGCTTTCACACCATATTTAGGTGATTACATTTTCAAGTTTCTTTTGGACGCCGCTGTATACAGTAAAAAAACCCATTATACCATCTACCTGGGATGAGCATGAAGTTGGTGGAACAATGGGGCAAGCGGTAGTATAACAGGATAGCACCGATTGCCATCTTAACAGTGATAGACTGGTAGGGACTAGAGACAATTAAACTGTGGCCAGTCCTAACTAATTTAGATCTGTGTCTAGCACAATTGCCAAGGGCAGGGGACAAATAAATAGGTGACAACTAATTCCATGTACAGCTGCAGCTGAACTTTACGTATATATTCACATTGAAAATTTCTGCAGGCTCAGAAGCTAGGCTATGTGTCAAGGACCCTGTAGAGGTACAGTAGTTTTGTTTTCTTTAACCTGATACTCAGTCCTTTCGCAGAGACTCCTCAGAATAGAAAAGCCTCATGGATGCCTGCCAACCTTTTGGTCATCAGGCTGACAACGACAAATATTTTGCAGACAGTCCGAGGTGGCGCTGTTTCTTTGCAGTTTTTTAAGGTCACTTTAAAATTTCTGTCCAATAATTTCTATTTTTCAAATTCTAATCAAAGCTTAAAAATAAGAGCATTTTTATAACGAGGTTTGACTGTACATATCTATTATCTATTTGTGGTGGCTCAAAAGGCTTTTTAATGGCTGTATCGATCGACATGCGGTTTTCGCCAAAAAATTCTTAAAATATTCTCCAGATCATGACGCCCTTGGTTTTTTCAGTTTTGAGAGTTTTGCTGCAACAACCTACATTTCTTTATTTCGCTGATCGCTTTTTGTCGGCCGACGCTTCTGTCTCTGTCATTTTAGAAAACCCGGAAGTGATATTTAGCAAGGCGCTTTTTGTTTTGAGAGTATAGATCTAGACCTTCTCATTTTTTGCATCTCTCAAGATTTATTTCCCCATTCCAGTAGAGTGTAAATATAGTAGGCCAATGACTTTTAGTTGATATTAAAGCACAGATCATTCCTTTCACCGAAAGGGGGCCCAGCTCGTATATATATATATATATATATATATATATATATATATATATATATATATATATATATATATATATATATGCATGGCGGAACCTCTCATATGAGAACAATCTTAGACAACACTAAGCCAATGGAATGGAGAAACATAAACACCAAAAAAACCCAAGAAAATCGAGAACACTCTGCTGCTGCTGCTGTGATTTCAAACCAGGTTCCCTTGCAGTACAGTCCAGCACAATACTAATTGAGATCATGGAGTGTACACAGATGATAAAAATGCTATGCTTCAATCACTGCTCTCATATAAGGGGGCTCGCGGGTCACGTCTAGGGCCTCAGGGACAGATTGTCACTCACTCTGACTCTGAGCACTCTTTACTTTTGATATTTTCCCATCCCTCATTCAGTCTAGATTTTATTGACACTAGTCACTGAGTGAGTAACATTAACAGAATTCAGTTTTATTGGGTTCTGCGTTGTGTACCAACATTTTCGATGTTTAATCTTGTTTTTCTTAGAGCTAACTTTTTCCCCACTTTTCGCCTGCATATGCCGGGGGGTTTTTCTCCACCATTTTTTTAAATTTTCAACACAGAGACTTGACAAATTGTTTACTCGTGCCACAAATATTTTTTAAAGATCAGATTCCATATCCTCAACTTTGAGAACAATTTTGGATACTTTCTAGGTATAGTATCAAACATCAAACTTACCAGCTGCAAACACCTATTTATTTGTCACATTTTGCAAGTTACAGAATATCAAAAAGAGAAAACTAAAAATGGAGGAGAAAAATAAATGTCAATCAAATTTTCAAGATGACCGCCGTTTCCATGGCAACAGCTTACGCAATTGAGTGTGTCAACAGTTGAGCATGAATCTTTTGTCTCCTACTGACTGCCTGTGACACATGAATCTTTTGTCTCATACTGACGGCCTGTGTCACATGAATCTTTTGTCTCATACTGACTGCCTGTGTCACATGAATCTTTTGTCTCATACTGACTGCCTGTGACACATGAATCTTTGGTCTCCTACTGGCTGCCTGTGTCTCCTACTGACTGCCTGTGACACATGAATCTTGTGTCTCATACTGACTGTCTGTGACACATGAATCTTTTGTCTCATACTGACTGTCTGTGTCACATGAATCTTTTGTCTCATACTGACTGCCTGTGTCACATGAATCTTTGGTCTCCTACTGACTGCCTGTGTCACATGAATCTTTGGTCTCCTACTGACTGCCTGTGTCACATGAATCTTTGGTCTCCTACTGACTGCCTGTGTCACATGAATCTTTGGTCTCCTACTGACTGCCTGTGTCTCCTACTGACTGCCTGTGACACATGAATTTTTTGTCTCCTACTGACTGTCTGTGACACATGAATCTTTTGCCTCATACTGACTGTCTGTGACACATGAATCTTTGGTCTCATGTTGACTGCCTGTGACCAAAGTTGTTTCAGTTTGTCTTTAATTGAAAATGTTGTCCCGTAGGTAGCGAGCCCCCCCTTAATCAAGACAAGACAGTTTCATAAATAATACATTTAGCAAAAAAAAATTATGCTAATGTTCAAATTTCACAATAAAGTACAATATATACAGACAACGATGATAAAACGTTCACTGTTGAAATGTTTGGCACGTTTCACTTTCTGCTGACAAAGCACAGTAATAGCCATATTTAGCTAGGGACAGAATTACTTTAATAAGGAAATGGAAAGATAGAAATGAAGTAGAAAACCTAAAAAGGGAGCCCACAACCCACCCATACTGGAGAAATTTTAATAAGATGATTGTCAAGTCAAATGTGAAGTCAAAATTACAAAAATCAAAATAAAACCAGTCTACTCTTTGAAGGACAACTTCAGAAGATTATTTTGAGTTGTCGTTATCACCAAGAAACCCACAGAACAATAGCCATACACTACACCAGGAACAGATACAGACAGGGGACATGACTGAAAAGTAGAAACAGAAGAACAAGACCACATTAAACACCCACCCCATACTTGCTCATTTCAGAAGTGCGTTTCAGTAAAATTAAGCCAGATACTTTGTTTTTTCAATAATGCTTTTTTTTTCACCTCCAGTACCATTATGCAATATGACACAAGAAATTCTAATAAAATAATTTTTCCAGCAAACATTGTCTCAGTGTCCCCCCTACCACATACAGTTGATCCTGCTGTAACGGCCACCTGCAGACAATCACCTGTAACAATGATCCCTTCCCATGTGTTCCCATTGTGGTTTCTTTCTTTCCATTGTATTGACACTGTCACACTGTGTCAGACGGCCACACGGCCACCAGTTCAACACTTCCACTTTCCTCCTCCATGATGGTTGGCTGCCTTAAAACTTGTAACTGTGCGGTCGAAATTGTCTAGGAATATTACCAACTGCCAAGGAGAAAAGTGGTTGTCTTAGACAGGAGGATATCTCGTGCAGTGTCGATATAATTTAGAGCAACGTAAGGGGAGATGGGAAGTGAGCGTTTGTCCATGTGATGGTTGTGGACAGGTGGCCATTAGAGCAGTTTCAACACTGCGTACAAAAGGTCTGCTGTAAAAAGGCACATCATCGCTGTGAGAAGCGTAAAAATCATTAGACTTTCATCCAGAACACATTATCTGGCCAGGAGTGGGATGCATCTAGGTCAATGACCCTGTCAGGATTCACGCCCCAGGTGGGCGACAGTCCGTGGGAGGTGAGGAAAGACTTGAGAATGCCACTGGCCTCCTCGTGATGCCTGTAGAACATCCACTCCAGCAGAACCACCTGAAAAAATGTTTCAAAGGACAAACTGGAATGGGTTCTGTTTGGTGGGTTTTTTAATTTTCTTTAATTTTAAAAAAGTGTTTTGGAGATTTTTGGGGGGAAGTGTTTTATTAGGTACCAGAAACTAAATTTTCAAAGTAGCAGTAGGCCAAATGTATCTGTTCCATTTGAAAGGCCTATATCCACTGAGCATTTTGGTACCACTCTCAGTCAATTTTTAAGAAAATGGTAGTTGTTTAAAAATTTGATCTAATTTGTTAAAGTCAGTCACTGGCTGCAACCCCATGTTTGATAGATAATAAGAGCAAAGAAACAGCGATCGGAATTACCCCAGGAGCACAGAGGAGGGGGCTGAAAAAGCCGAGGACAAAACATGGTTAGAGATCAGGAAAGGAGGTGAGAGGACAAAACATGGTTAGAGATCAGGAAAGGAGGTGAGAGGACAAAACATGGTTAGAGATCAGGAAAGGAGGTGAGAGGACAAAACATGGTTAGAGATCAGGAAAGGGGGTGAGAGGACAAAACATGGTTAGAGATCAGGAAAGGGGGTGAGAGGACAAAACATGGTTAGAGATCAGGAAAGGAGGTGAGAGGACAAAACATGGTTAGAGATCAGGAAAGGAGGTGAGAGGACAAAACATGGTTAGAGATCAGGAAAGGGGGTGAGAGGGGAAAATTTTAATTAAAACAAATGTGATATTTTACTTTCAAGTGTCTTGTGTTGACAAACAGCAAAAACAAATGTGATATTTTACTTCCAAGTGTCTTGTGTTGACAAACAGCAGAGACAAATGTGATATTTTACTTCCAAGTGTCTTGTGTTGACAAACAGCAGAGACAAATGTGATATTTTACTTTCAAGTGACAAACAGCAGAGACAAATGTGATATTTTACTTCCAAGTGTCTTGTGTTGACAAACAGCAGAGACAAATGTGATATTTTACTTCCAAGTGTCTTGTGTTGACAAACAGCAGAGACAAATGTGATATTTTACTTCCAAGTGTCTTGTGTTGACAAACAGCAGAGACAAATGTGATATCTTACTTCCAAGTGTCTTGTGTTGACAAACAGCAGAGACAAATGTGATATTTTACTTCCAAGTGTCTTGTGTTGACAAACAGCAGAGACAAATGTGATATTTTACTTCCAAGTGTCTTGTGTTGACAAACAGCAGAGACAAATGTGATATTTTACTTCCAAGTGACAAACAGCAGAGACAAATGTGATATTTTACCTTCAAGTGTCTTGTGTTGACAAACAGCAGAGACAAATGTGATATTTTACTTCCAAGTGTCTTGTGTTGACAAACAGCAGAGACAAATGTGATATTTTACTTTCAAGTGTCTTGTGTTGACAAACAGCAGAGACAAATGTGATATTTTACTTCCAAGTGTCTTGTGTTGACAAACAGCAGAGACAAATGTGATATTTTACCTTCAAGTGTCTTGTGTTGACAAACAGCAGAGACTCATCAAAGAAACTGACAAGTTACTAACAAAAAACAAAAGTAAGAAATTTCCCAAGGAGAAGAAAAGATAAGAAAGTTAAATCCCACCTTGACATCAACTTGAGAGAAAAATTCCTGGGCACACTGCAACACCTGAACTTCCATACCCTCGAGGTCCAGTTTGAGGAAGACATCACGACCCCTTACAAACGGCACAAGATCGTCAAGACAGATGGCATCCACGGTTTGGCTGTGCACAAATTAGAAATTATGTCAAAACTCATGGAAATACATTAAACTCCCTTTGCTCTCTAAGGAAAAGACCTCTCTTCACCAAATAATACGAAGGGGTTTATCTTATCACTCATACAGATAGCTGGAATATTTTTTTAAATTTTTGCACGCCCTACCAACCGATATTTTGTCAAAACCATTCTGTAGCACATTGGAGCAATATTGAGGAGAGATATAGCTCTATATATAAAAGCTTTTATTATATTTTCAAAACCATTCTGTAGCACATTGGAGCAATATTGAGGAGAGATATAGCTCTATATATAAAAGCTTTTATTATATTTTCAAAACCATTCTGTAGCACATTGGAGCAATATTGAGGAGAGATATAGCTCTATATATAAAAGCTTTTATTATATTTTCAAAACCATTCTGTAGCACATTGGAGCAATATTGAGGAGAGATATAGCTCTATATATAAAAGCTTTTATTATATTTTTAAAATCATTTCTCCTCTCCAAAATTCATATAAAAAGGCTGCAGTAAAAGGCCTGATATCAAAAGAGATCCTTAAAAATACAAATTCCTTTAACTTTTCCATGTAATGGCAAAGTTTTGCCACAAACTTACCTAAGGTAGAAGTAGATTCCATTAACAGCTCCCAGCCCATGATAGAATCAACAGCTTGTAAAACTTGCCACGACATATTCACAAATGAAATGAAGCCACTAGGTTAACTTCCCAAAGTCACAAGTCACACTGATGACCTTATACTCTCACCATGTGAGTGAAACAAAAGCTCACCTTTGTATTTTTGTTCTAAAACCCCAGCCAAGTTAATCTGCAGGTCCTTAATAAAAAGCATGAATCTTCATGAATATAAACAAGACAAAGGTATCCATGGGCTGACTTTTCCATCTCTTCTCATCATCTAAATCACAACAGATTTTTGTGCATGGGGAATAGTTTCAAGAAACAGTTGTACAGTTAAGGTTAAAGCATAACACCATCAATGTACACCACTGACATAACACCATCAATGTACACCACTGACATAACACCATCAATGTACACCACTGACATAACACCATCAATGTACA